TTGTACAATTTACTAGAATATTCATTAAACAATTATTATTTCATTTTTTTCTATCCAAAAAAAAATATTATTGACTTATAGATTTTACCTGCAATGGTTACATTTATATTGATTTGTTTGTTTATTTAAAGTGAAGTTATTATGAACAATTGATCTATGCATATTTTTTTTTTCTATTTCGGTAATGGTAGATTCGTTAATGGTAAATTCGTTAATGGTAGATTTGGTAATGGTAGAATCCTCAGAAATAATAGAACCTTCAGCAATAATAGTTGCTGCTTCAAATTCTGAAAAGGCCTCATTATTTGCATCATAAAAGAATTCATTATCCATTGATATAAATTTTTTTATTATAAATATATAACAAAAAAAATTTTCACACGCGCGCGCACATTTTTTTTTGATAAACCAAATAAGGAATTTATATACAATATCTCTATAACGTATATCTTTCTATAATAATAATGCACTTCCCCGATTCTTTTTTTATATTTTTTATAATTAATTTTTCTCTCTGAAAATAAATACAGAAATACACATGATAACAAACCAATGTTTTTTTATTATCTACTTATTAAAAATCATCTCTATAAGCCGATTTTATTAAGTTTTTTAAAACTGAAGATTTTTTTTGTGACTTTGGTTTAACAAGATCTGCATGTATAACAAACATCTTCTATTAACGAAACTTTTCATAATATAAATATGAAGATCCAGCCAAACCGAAAAAGTTCGGTTCGGTTCGGTTTGGTTTCGGTTCGGTTCAAAGAGTAAACCGAAACCAAACCGAACCGAACCGAAATTTTTCGGTTTGACTTTTTATAAACCGAAACCAAACCGAACCGAAACCGAACCGAAATTTTTCGGTTTGAACCGAACCGTTCGGAGCTTTAGCTGTATGTAAAGAGTATTTATGTTGAAATGGTATGAAATCCTCTGAAGAAATATAGTTTTTATCTTTATCTTTATCTTTGCTTTTGACTTTGCCTTTGGCTTTTTTATCATTTTTTTCACTAGTCAAATTTTTTTTTTTTTACTGGTTCTAAATCATCCAAAAAAAAATCAGGTTCTACTAAAAAATCATTTAACCGTTCTTCATGAATAACCCGACAGGTGAAAAAATCATCATCATCCTCACATTGTATTGAATTTTCATTAGCAAGAGACATGTCCAGAAAGAAAAATTCATTAATTAGGATTAAAAAAAATAAGGGAACATTTTTTTGAAAAAAAATTCCTTTTTATAGAAAATGAGACTGCATTCATTTTTTATAAAAATTTTTTTTTTTTTTAAAAAATTATTCTTCAGAAAAATGATCAGCAAAAGGGTTTTTTACTTTTTCTTTTCACCATCACAAGGATTTGTCATGATGTCATTATGGTCAGATGATTTAAAACTAAGTTTAAAAATTTCCAAAAAGGCAAGAAATAAGAAAATCAAAAAATTCTGGTGCACAAACTAAAATTAAAGTATTTTTACTTGAGGTAATGTGATTTCGAAAAGTTCGCAGGCAAATTTTCCTGCGAGAATATCGAAGGGATAAATGTGATTGGTAATTTTGGTATAACGAATCTAAAAAAAAATTTTATTAGAAATGTTCATAATTTTATAAAAAAAAAAATAATAAATTTCGAGTTGACTCGAGGGCTCGAGTTTCAAACTCGCATATTTAAAATTTAAATCAAGGTTGGGTGACGAATGTCTCCTATTCATCACATGATGAAAGTAAATGTAACGAAATAAGATTTCTACACTGAGGAATTTGACGAAAATGACAATAAAATAAACAATTATTTATGGATTTTAAATTTTTGGTTCAAGGTGTAATTAAAAAAAAAAATTCTAATTCACCAATTCCTTCTCAATGATCATATATATAATGTGAATATATAAACATTAAATTTAGAAATTCATTTAACAATAATCAAGAATTGGCTCCAGGATGTCCTGTGTCTGATTCATGGAAAAAGTAAAAGGACATTACTCAGCATCTTGCAAATATTGTCCAAAAACCTGGAGTCATAGAACACCTTTTAAACTCAAGGCTCATTTAGCCCTGGATGTCATTCTTCTATTGCTTGTTTTTATTTGGATAAATTAACAATCAACAAAACAATGAAATAAACAAAAATAAAATGCCCAAGCTCTTTTGTCAAGCTTTTATGAAAGCACTGTTCTAATTGACCAAAAAGAAAATCAATTGATTTTGACTTTTGACTTTTGTCATCTTCATCATTTTCGTCATATTTCATCACATTTGTCAGATGTATCCCGCTTGACAAAATATTTTTTACACCAAAATATTTTCGTCACCCAACCTTGATTCAAGTCAAGTCAAAGCATAAACTCGGCTTGGCTTGTTCGGAGTTTTAATCAAATGTGCTTACAAATTCACATACAAGAAAGAGACAGTAAGTGAGGACCAAAGTAAATTTGTAAACTAATTAACTGGTAAGCATCAAATTATTGTGAGTTGCTTGCAATTAACTGACAAGAGTAGCCCAAAAGTTAAGCCGTAATAGCATTAACCAAAAACTACCTTGAAATATCACTATCAGAAAACTGTAAAAAGTTTATTACTTCAAATGTTGTTTATAAATAAAAATAAAAGAAAAAAAGGAAAAATAGCTAATTTAATCTCCATTATAAATTTATTTGTTATAGTTATTTATCTTTAATTACTAGAATCTAATGTTTATTAATCAATCAAATTGCTAGTAATAATTAATGGATAGAAATTTCTAATTAATTAATAATGGAATTTTTGTTAACATTTTAGAGAAGAGAGTTAAGATCATTTAATGAACTGTCATTACTTATATAACTTTTAAAGTTTTTTGATCTATCAATCTCTTCATCTAATATTCTACTTGTATGATATGCATCTGGATGTGATTTGTGTATTTGTTGCAAATCATTACCACTACCACTGCTGCTGCTGTCACAATCATTATTAAACCCATTTTCATGTTTTTTGATTTTAGAAAATTTGAATAATTTTTTTATTAAACTATCCTTGCTACTACTATTTTTCAAACTTTTATTATCACGAATTTCCTTATTTTTATTATAAGCAAAGTTCTTAAGCTCTCCACTAGTTGGTCTTTTTGATGGATCCACATCCCAACATCTCTGCATCATTTGTGAGTAATCGTCAGGCATTCCTGGTAATATTGGTGGTTGTAAACCTTCTTCACATATATCAAAAATTAAACAATGATCATGAGCTCTATCATCAAATGGTGGATGACCTGCAAAT